CGAGGGTCGCGGCCTCCACGGCCTGCAGCAGCTCGAGCTGCTGGAGCTTCTTGGACTTCTTCGCGGAGCCGCGGGCGCGCTTGCTGCTCTGGATCGTGCGGACCTTGTTGATCATCGTCTTGGGTACTTGGTGGGATATTCTCGACTGCGACGTCGGTTCCGCGTGCCACGAATATCGAGTTTCAGAGGTCTTCAAGCAGCCGAGAAAACACAGGAGAAGCGTATTGTTTTACATTTTGGAAATGGCATACAAAAACGAAGTATTTATCGATCGAATTGAAGTTGCTGAAATTAATTTCAAGCCGTTTTCGCGTACCATGCAACTTCAAGCACCCTCGTCGAGATAGTATGTTGCAAGGTATTCAAACTCAAGGGCGACCAGAAACCTCTCAGAACGCATTCGTAGATTCTCGCGCCCGAATTTTACGCCGGCCGAGTTTGTCCCACATCGGATCTTGGGACAAACCTTGCCTTGCCGCCAAAAACGCACGAGGAAGGAAAGGAGAGCCTCGTATCTCCACCACCTCCTGCCGTCAAAGGTATTACCTCCTGCCTCCAATCAACACAAAAGATGGAGGTAACAGCAGAGCCAAAGGGTTATAACCCTTGCTAGAGCCAACGTGCAATGTGATGTAGAAGAACCAAAACGCGCTTGAAAGGTCCCAAAACATGATGCGAGTGTGGATTCGGTCGGCACGAAGAGGGACAAGCCAGGGTGTACTAAACCGTTCTATCCCTGGAGACGGAAAAGATGATATTGGCGATTGTTTCCAGGTATTTGGATGGCTTTCATTGCATTTTCCATGAATTGAATTCTTTTCACAAAATTTCGCACGGGACGAAGACGATGTCGATCCTCGGATTGGCGAGAACACAAAATGAGTCTCGTACGCTGCTTGGTACCAAAGCAACCACACAGCAACACGCAGAGATGAGACGTCGTCGTTGTTGGGACATTGGGACAAACCCTCGCGGCGAAGATTCGGCTGCCGTCGTCGGACCCCGCACGTCAAGATTCAGTACCTCTCACAATGCATAGATCGTAAAATGCGTTCTTAGAGGTGTCGTCCTACTGTCATCGAGATTCGACGCGACGTCGTGCCACGTCATATTGAATCTGCGTCCGTTGCTGTCGTCGGTGGCAAGATACGCTCGCAGATGCAATCCAATACATTCCACGAGGCAACAAACGAGATGGTATTAATCCTTGCAGCTCGTCATTAGAGCGACTGGCCAGGTTGGAGCTTGTGGTAGAGACCCAGCGCCCAGAACGGAAACACGTTCCGGAACGCCGTGTAGGTGATGCCACAACTGCGGTTGAAGACGCCGCAGATGCGCTCCTGGTCCCAGTCGCCGCTCGGGAGCTGCTTGGACATCAAAAACTATCCCGAAACGATCATCAGCCATGCGTCCGTCATGTACATGTTGCAACGCACCCGGATGCCACGGCGCACCGCGTCCCACTCCTTCTCAAACCCGTCTTGCGGTCCGTTCGTGCGCTCAATGCCCTTCATGAGCGCTACATCAGCAGCATACTATGAGCCCACTTCATCAATCGCATCCTGCGTCGCACCGAGAAGCGCCCATGCCGTCGACACCACTTGGCTCTCTTCCGTCTCGAGGTACCGCTTGCTCACGCAGGCGAAGAAGCTCTCGGTCCAGCCACCGTCCACACGCTGCTTGGAGCACACAAACTTGACGGCGTCCCGGACATCCTCGTCGTCCTCGGTCGCGCCCGCGCCGCGCAGCCTAATAATGGACCTTGATGACAATCTGTCCAAAAAACAAAAGACAACACGTACCCGACGACCGCAAACCACGTGCCGTAGAGGTAGCAGACGCCCCACTTGCCAAAGAAGCTGCCGTCCGCAAACTGCTGGTGGCGAATGAACGTCTCGGCCCGCTTGATGGCGCGACGAATCTTCTCGGGGCGGTAGCTCGGGTACTTGGCGTGGAACATGGCCAGCGCGCAGAGCGACGTGGACGAGCACTCAATGTACGAGTAGTCGATCATGATGCCGCCAAAGATGACGGCGGGATTGAGGTACTCGTACCACTCGAACCCGCGACTCTTTTCATACGTGGGAAAACCACCTAGCGACAACGGTTGAGAGGATATGGTTTCCCATACCATCCAAACGCACCGTCGTCGTTTTGAAGCGCCAAGAGAAAGTCCACCGCTTCGCAGTAGCGCTCAAACGGCAATGTGGTCGCAAGAAGATCGTCGCCCGCGTGCGCATCGATGAGCAGCATCGCCTTCATGGCCTCGCCCGTGCAGTCCGTGACCGGGTACCCGTTGGCCGACGGCCCGAAGCCCCAGCCGCCCTTTTGCTCGCTGCGCCACCAGTGCGCGCGGTTCTCGACTTCATGGCGGCTCTGCGCTTGCTCGAGGTAGTGATACGCGCGGGCCACCATCTTCTTGTTGACGTCGCGGAGACCGATGCCGGCCTCAAAGTAGCCCTGGATCGCAAAGCTCGTGTCCCACGTGTGCGACCCAATGTAGCCTTGCATCTTGACACCGTCCTCCGCGACCCTAACCATACATATCACGTAAATATCAAGTAAATAGCAAGTGATGAATATCAAGTAAATAGCAAGAGATGCATAGCAAGAGAGGAGGGGATCGAAGGACGTACCAGAGGTAATCTTCAATGCGCTGCTGGTGCTTCTTAAACGCGTCCGAGGTCGGGTCATCGACCCACACAGCCAGCATGTTCATGACCTTGTTGACAGGCCCAATGTCGCAGTAATTGGTCTGCTCGTCTTCGGCGTGGATAAACTGGATCGCGTACTCGAGACCACGGCGGCGGAACGGCGTGATCGCCGGCAACAGCTCGTACCACGAGAGCATGTAGTTGGCGGCGCGCATCAAGAGCGACGGCGGGTGGTATTCGTCCAGCGGGCAGTACGCGCCCCGGGCCGCCGACCACGACACTTGACTGTACGGCGTCATGTAGAGCTCTTCGCGGAGTTCCTTGAGCAGCGGCGTGAGCGGCGCTTGGTACCGGCGGCCATACAGGTACGAGATGGGCAAGTAGACCTAGTATATGCCATGAGCCCCA